CGTCTAGTAATGGCAGTGGTAGCGGTGGTATTTTTGATAGTGGGTAAAAGGGAATCAGTGGAAAAGATGTACATGATGAGAACAGAACCGGGCCATAAGCGGAGACTTGTGTTTTCCCACTACCGAACGAAAACACAAAAATTAAAGCAAATTACTTTCCAAGGATGTTCGCTAGCACGTGCGGTGCGCTACTTTTTGGGATGGGCAGACGCGAGCGAGCGCCATCTCCTGGGCCCTCCCCACTACTTTCAGCTGCCCCCTCTCCACTCTAGAAAAAAGAAACTGTACATGGAATACAGTGTGTGAATCTCTGTACTAAACAAAGCTAATTTTGTCACCTAATAATTACCCAATGGAGAGTGATTACGCCGACAGTGTTGCCACCTCACACGTCTCCTCGCAGAGAGAACATCATTCTTCTGCATCTCCATGAATTTCCACTTCCGCATCAAAAAATTTCAATGCTGCGACAGAATGACAGCTGTGTGACAGCCTGCCAATATATGCTCGTATTGTGTTTCCATGACGTCTCTTGATATATGCGCTGGAGACTTTTTCCTCGTACGAGCATTTTTTCTCAATGAGACAGGATATGGATGTGAAATCCACTTCCAGAAGCTGCGTTTTGGACTTGTATTGAATGTACGTAGACGACAACACGAAATTACAATTTTAAAATATTCTGCATACCAGTGGAGGAAGAAAATTCTGTAAGAAAGTGTATAGCTACTCAAACAAACGCAGTGTTTTGGTATTTTAAAGCTAGCAGCAAATATTCAGTTCAACATAATTTTCTGGGATTTTCAAAGGACATTATCTCTAAGTAAAAAGTTATTTCAATTATTCAAAAATGCCTCAACTCATTCACTGTAGTCTTTACGATATTCTAGGCATCATCAAGAAAATTAAAGATGAATAGGTTCTTAAAACATTGCACATTGCACACAACAAACACCACAGATATGTGCAACCATATTTATTATATCTAAATCTGCTTTCGATTAACACTCATTTGCGGATAAATTAAACATCCAATTTCGCCTGCAAAGAATTATTCTGAAGGGTAATATATCACTGCTTCTTCTGACATATCACGTTTTCCAATTTATTGAATATACGGTAATAGTTAACGTTTGCAAAAAATCGGATCATTTTCTGCGAGAGAGCAAAGAGGCGTGCATGGGCTCTGATTGTCTTCCGAGGGCGATTACCCAATCACTGGAGGGCGCGCGCAGCCCTCTCGCGCGGAAAATGGTTAACACAGCAAGTCAATTTCAACCCGATTGTTTTCTTTCAATTTTGCCTTCGTGCTCATCTACTGACGATAAAAAATGGCGTTAGTTGCATTTACGGACACCTCTAGTACGACTTGCATTGCTATATATTTATCGGCTAGCGAGGAAAGTGTTTGAAAAGATAGATTGCAAAGTTCATTATGTCGAAGTGCTGGCTCAAAAAGTAATAGTGCTATTGACATTTCTCTCAAAGGCAAGTTGAGCTATGATTCTGTAACATTTCCATGACTATTTCGAGTGACTTCGACAGCAAAATTAAAGGAAGGTTCATTTACTGATAAATGTGAAAATACTGACGATAGCTTGCCGCAAGAAAAATTGCCATTGAATGAATTTCGCCCAAATCATGAATCGTTTCTCACTTTACAACGCCTCGAAATTTCAGATACGTTTTGAGGATGGGGTTAAAAAATATTTCTTCTAAAATTAGGTATGTACGTATCCTGAACAAATTGAGTGAGAAAGAATTGAGATTTAACAAAATTCTGGTAAAAATTTCAAATGTTATTTTCTCCTTATGAAGGTATCGTTGTAGGGCACGATATTAATAGTGCAAGCAAAAACAAAAACACATTAAAAACTGACATCAAAAATTACACCTGTGACAAATTCATATTTTCTACCAAGACGACGTATTCCAAAACACGAAAGTGATTCTAACCTAATTACATTGATTTTACTATTCAAACATATTAAAAATTAAAATTAATCAATATCCTGGCTATTATATCGTCAATTCGATCAATGAAAATGTTTGATGTATTCCAATGCACGAACATACAGATGATGTGATTAACTCATATCCCCACGAGAGGTTTAAGAATTCAAAAATATTAGACTGATAAAATTAAAGACTACGTGTAAGTGATAAGTTAAATGATGAACAATAATGTGCTTACTTTGTTTAATTAAAAATAAAATAATTTAATTCATTAAGGAAAAGGTAAAAGGACACTCTGCATATCTTCAAATGCTAAGCATGCATTCAATTACATGATTTGTTTATAAATTTCTTGTTCATGCTGCTTCAATTTTCAAATGAAAATTGAATGAATCAATCAGAATAACACCAATTCTTTCTAAAAAGGCGTACCGTATATTTACAGAATTCAAGAGAATAACGAATAATAATAAAACTTTTAGAAATGCCGATAGCACGATTTCTGATTATTATACGTTATGTCATTTATTTCATAAATACGTAAATAGGTAGATATTGGGCAAGAAATATCTATGAAGCTATGTATTACATTTCATAATACTATTCCTATTAACACGCTTAGATACGTTAGCATGATCGGTAAAAGAGATTAACATATCTTTCAACACTATCAATTTCAGAAAATATTCAATTTTAATGTAATAAATTACATTTTTAATAAAATATAATAATATTGTATGATTTAATATGATTGATATGATGTATACTTGGTTTATGAAATAGATGACTAGAATATTTCGAGAAATGAAAATAGTTCAAGTAACAAAATTATAAAAAAATTAATGAATTGAGATTGATGGATTCAAAAATGGTCTAGATATCTAAATACATGAAAACACGTAAACGGGAAACATGGTTTAACATTTAATTCGTTGAATATATGATCAAATCATTTTTATATATTGTTAAAATTACGAATGAAATGTTAAAAATGATGTATGAAATGGTCAAAATGAAGTGTTTTGAATTGTGCGGTCTAGGTTTCTAAAATAGACCTCAAGCCGTAAAATTACAAAAAATTGGGATATTTTGGGATAAAAAATGAATATATTAATAAATTTATGTAATTTAATACGATTGTAATGAACCTTTTAAATAGCACTCCTTTCAGTAAGATGTTTTGAGATTTAATTTGTCTGTCATGCATGTGGTGCATGAGCGTAATATGTGGCAACAACACATCGAATTGTCTGAGTTACTTATCCGCTGCCGGAACTGTAGTTCACAGCAAAGGATATTTCTGTGCCTCAGGTTCACGAATCTTCGATCAACATATTCTACTCTGTCACAGAATGAATGATGAGTCTGAATGTCAGCAGGGTTGTTGCGAGCCCTCGTTGAAAAGAGAATGTCCAACCTCGCTGCTCCGCCTCCACGCTCATCGCGTTTCGGCTTCGAAAAAAGCTTTCCGTCTGTGACGCCGAATGTCAGAGCAGAAGAGAGCTTTGCACGTGAATGGTTGACAAATTCCTCTGAATGGTAGAGACCACGCTGCATTTTTATGTAGATTATTACATGAAGGCAAGATGTAAGGAAGCGAAAATATTAAAACTGTTTCCTAAGATCTTTACTTCATACGAGATAAATTTGATATCATATGAGATATATATTTCATGCGCGAGTTATTCTTAAAATAAATTTCACATCCATATTGCATTAGTGAAGTGTATGGTTCGTTTAGCAGAAATCATCACTAACCCTGCATATTTTTCCCTTTGTATTGCATATAACTTTAAAGGATAATTACAAATATTTGAATAACTGAATATTTGCAGGTCAGGAGATGATAATAATAATAACAATAACAAAAATAACAGTAACAATAACAATAACAATAACAACAATAATAACAATAACAACACTAATAACAACAATATCAAAAACAACAATAATAACAATAATTCTTGGTTAAAATTATTGTGTTTAAGTCTAACACAAATGTTTAAAACTCCTGCTATACATTCCTGCTGTTTCTTTTAAGATATTTTAAGTCAAATGTCATTTCGATAGTAAAATAACTGAAAAAGTCTGCGCACGTCCATGTTACGCAGTACACTTCGGGGGAACTGTTCAGTTTCCTTTGACACTGTTCTGCTAGCTTGAAACGTCGGCCGTGTTCACCGTACTAGCGACCTCTGCAGTGATCGCGCACGTAAACACGGAATAAAACAGACACACAAAATAAAAAATGTCACAACCAAAGAAATGACTTGTTACGCTACGTATGTCGGCTCGCTGAATCTGAATCTGAAGCTACAATTGCGCCACCTCACTCCCGTTTTTTAATCGTGAAAAAAACCTCCGTAACCTCCGTAAAATCGATAATTTGCAATTGAACACCGAAAACAGTAAATACACTGAAACGGTATTTTTTGGCAATTTAAAAAACTGGAGTATAATGGCTTGGCTTCATATTCGGATTAAATGCGTTGACATAGGTAGAGAAAGATGCATTCTTGGGTCTGAAAACTTCCTTTGTGTTTGTGTAATGAATCCACCGACAATCGTTCCTCGAAAGGAACGTCAGTGTGTACCGAGGTCATTAGTGACGTAAGTGTAGTGCATGCATTTTCCTCGAGAGGTTGCAGAGATCCGGCGCCGACGTACTGACGACTAGCGGGGTTTTCGCCAACCAGGTATCACCCCCAGAGGGGCACCGCCCCGACCGGTCTCCCGACATGTGTGGTAGTGTTGTGCATGTTAGTATAAGTATGGTGTGAGGATATGACAAAGATAAGGAAGAGGTCGTGGTGGTCTGTAGTCTATTTGTTAGGGACCTGCTCTGGCATTCGACTGGTGCTGATCAGAAAAACCACGGCGGCATAATTCTCCCCCAGACAGCGTCTGAATTCGACCTCAAATCCTGCCCGCGTGTAACCCTATGGAGTGTGAGTGTAGGACCGACACCAGAGGGGGCGGCGAGCTGAGCACTTACCGACGACGGAGAGGTGCATGGAGAGGCCGATGGGGGGCGTGGTGCTGACCTGGCACTCGTACAGCCCCGAGTCGCGGTGCTGCGGGTAGCGGATCTGCAGCACCCAGTCGTCCGACTGCGGCGCGTGGATGGACTGGAAGCGCTGGTCGCTGGTGTACGTGTAGCGCCCCACCGTCAGCAGGTGGATGTCCCGGTGCCGCACCCACGACACCTGCGCCACCAACCACGCCGCCGTCAGCAAGGCAACTGCACTCGATGGCAGCAATCCGTCGCGGAATGGAACTTATTCTTGTTGACCACTCAGAGACGTTTACAAGCCAGGTATCGACAATTAATCATTGAGAATCGTTATAGTTTCTACTGTGATAAAGGCTTACTTTGATTGTCTACAAGATAATCGCATTTTATATAGTATTGTTTGTGCGAGTTTAATATATTTTATTAGTAGTATATTTTATGTGGAAGATTGCGTAAAATGTATTGGATCGTCATTTCACTTTGATCGTATTCGACTAGCGCAGTGGTGAACAAAAGACATCTGCCGCAGGGAAGGGTAGGTGGCCTTGACCTAATACTGCATGTCAACTGCCACGAATCGATTCCATGTGAATTTTAACACATAAAAAATACCTTACGACGTAGAAAAAGTACGAAACTTGATGAACTGAAGGAAGAAATTCGATGTGATGAGTATTAATACACGAGTATCGTACATTTCTTACGAGTGTATTAATCATTACATCATCGTTTCATAATGTCGGGGGTGTAATGTACTATTTTTGTATTCCAGCATTATAAAAGTACCTTTTCTGTTGCAGGAAATCGTTCATAATCGGGCATTTTACGGCAAAATTGATGACGTTTTTGATCTTGTGCAGGAATAATTGCATAATCACACATCCACTCACTTGCATCAAGAGAATTGTAGGGAGGTAGTGGAGAAGAGAACAGCGGACAACCTTTTTCTCGCACAGACGTCAAATACATGAAAATTACTTTGCAAAACAGAGTTTGATTCTCTCATAAGTTTATAATGCTGTTATACAAAGAGGAGGCCCTTGCTCTTAATGGGATGTGCAGTTGACTAATAAAAAAACTCACAATACAATAGTGTTTACAAATTGCTGTAAATGTGAATATTACCGGCGCAAGAAACATTTCAAAAAATATATTTGTGTAATTAAAAAAATACCGAAATGTCTTTACGTCAAATTAAAGAGTGAAATTCTCCAAAATGGAGGCATTTTTGAGAAAATGGTTTTTGAGCTTATCTAAAATTGCAACATTTGGTGATAGTTTTGACATAAAACTGTTGAGATTCCGAGAAGCTTTATCTGACATTATTTAAAGCACATGTACTCAAAATATAAAAATGTAAATATTAATGACGTAAGAGATAAATCAAAAAACTTACATTTTTTTGTAATTTTTGAAGAAAAAAAAGAACAGAGCAATACGGAGTCTATGTATTCTTATAGAGTGAATTTAGCACATTTCCCTACATGGTTTTTGAGAAAATCTGTTTTTGTATTTTTTTAAAATTCCCCAAATAGCTCTCAATATAGCGCTTAACATAATAAACTAATTGCATAAACTACAATTAAGAAAACAGTATTGTTGTTACAATCTGTTCTAAGGATAGGTCAATCTCAATTTCTGCCATCTATTTTAGAGATCTGATCTAGACCCTGTCCAAATCGTGGTGCAGCAGTCTCCACCCCCACCTTATTCTCGAATGCCTTGCTACTATTCATACAAGAAAACTTCTTGAAATTGAAAGAACTCTACAATCATTGCTCATTTCCACAGCCGGTGCGTAAAAGTAGTAAAATTCTTAGATTATACAAAAATGTACATCCTTACATAGCTATGAATATTGTGTTAGTACTTTAGTTAGATTAAACACAACACGTTGTGAAAATGTAATTAAATTTAACATATTTATTCTTGATATAATTTTAACTAGTATGTTTGTCTATACAACTGTATAAAGATATGGGGTCGCTGATGACCTAGAAGCTTTAAAGCGACCTTAAATTTTTTTAAGAAAAGGGGAACAATAAAATCTCGTAATGCAGTGCAGTGCAAGCGAGGTGCGGCCCGTTACTCTACAGAAATATGCGTTTATTCTTTGTCACATACGTCGCGTCAGGAGACTGCATGTGAGCCAAGGTGGGTAGCTGAACGAATTCATTTTCAATGATGGGACCTTGAAAGTCTGCATAGGTACAAAATATACAAAATCTCCTCCTTACACTGGATATGTTCTTCACTCTTTACGCAGTTTTCAATTAGTTCACATTTGTTTACATTTAACCTTATTTTGACCATCTTTATCAGGACATTTACAACTTGACATTCATACATTTTACGCTTTTATAGTTCATCCTTACATTACGTACACACTTTTTCACCACACAACCATCCATAGGAGGCCGACATTCCACTATTCGCCGCCACTACTGAGATGATTCTTTTTTTGTTACTTTTTACTTTAATCAAAAATATAAAAAAGTATTTAATACTGAGAAAGTAAAAATATTCATTCAATGTTTACCCGGGACTGATTATTCTGTACTATACTCCGCAGATCTGAATAAAGAAATATACTAAAAATAGTAAATGAAAACACTTTAAAATTCATAATAAGAGCTAACATTTATTCACCATCAACAATTTAACTACACAATAGTCTTTTAAACGGACATAATATTTGTTATTTTTCAAATAATTGCCACCCCAACTGTGTTTCAAACCCTGGTCCTCTCGTTTACGCCCAGTTGTTCTAACTACTGGACAACCGACCCATCAATTCATGTAACAGGGTGCTGACAATTATATGTATGGAAATAAAAACGAAACGTCTGCCAAATTCACAATTTTCAATGGCTCCATCTCCCCCTGACTTTGCCGTTCCCTTTGGGGGCCACCGCACTGCCATCGCCCGCCTTCTGGTCGTCCTCATTTGTCCTCGTCTCGCCGCCCGTCCGCGCCGCCGCCATCCCCGGGGGTTGCTTTATTAGATTTTTCGAATAACTCCGAGGGCGGGATTCGCTTTGGCATTCACGCGCCGGGGGGCGCCTGTCAGGCAGCGCTGCCCACCCCAATCGCCTCGAGGGGGGGGGCGGGGCGTGGAGAAGAGTGGCTGCGCGGCGGGAGCTGACGGGGTGGATCAGCGGTGGGGTGGGGTAGGGCGGGAGCAAGGCAGGTGGGGAGGGCCGTGCCGGGGACTGCTCCCCTGCTGGGCCCAGGGCTGGAGCCGGGGGCGGTGCGGCATGCCAACAGTGGCGCGGCGCGCGGTGGGGTTGGAAACAGGTCCGAGGTTTCTTGCTCCGAAGGGGTCGCCCGGTGTTGCTTTGTGGGAGGAACTTCAATCGCAGAGGGGTGAGGTCGATCTGTGTTGTCGGGTATAGCAGACCTCCTGGGGATTGCCGGTTCCAGGACAGATCCTGAGTGATATTCTGTAAACTGAGACTTTTGCTCTTCTGGATATTCTTGATGTGGGTAATTTTTGGGCGGTTTAGCAGGGTAATGTCGACCAACAATTGAAATGCAGAAATTGTATAGCATTGCACTCTAGCGTTATCGTACAACTAATACAAGACATAATTTTGTTGTGCTGATTCTCTTTGCAACATTTAATGCCTTTACAAAAAGAAGGAATGAATACATTGTGTAAATATCAGGGGTTATTAATAACTGAGCTGTTTTACAGCAACCATTCATAAATAATTTAAAGAAAAGAATGAAAACATTTCTCATTTTCAAATTAACTTCTAATTCAAAATAACTTATAATTATTAGAAATATCTACCACAAGATATTAGACAAACACACAGCATTAGTAAGCAAACGAATTGTAATTCACAAAGTCCAGATGTCATCTAAAAAATGGTGATTGCTCAGATCATATTTTTTTCGAAAATCATCCCTGATGCGTAAGTTTGTAACATTCTAAATGTATACGATTAGTTGATACTCAGTTTTGTATGGTAATTTTGAAATTAAAGACTTTAATTGAGGAGGAGGGGGAGATACAATAATTCTATGACCGGATTGAATTCACCCGTCTGAGTGCACTTTGTCTATCATGAACTGAAGAGTATTTTTTTTAATCTAGAGGCACAGAGTTTCATATTATTTTCGACTGCCAAGTAGCGTAAAGTCCTTATTCACCTAAAAACTTGTGCTAAGCCAAATAGTGTATTTAAAAATATTTTTTCTTCGAGAGATTTATCCTCAGAGATGACTCATAACATACTTTGCCAGATATAAAACAAATCACTGTATCACTTCCTTTTTTAAAATTATCTATAATTGACCAACTTTGATTTTCTTATGCATTTATTACTTTCAAATAAAAAAAATATTAACAGAGGAAGGGATAATAGATTCAACAGACCTGACATTATTTCTACACTCTATGGAATATTCCCATATCGCATGGTTTTCAGCAAGTCTCATTCTGTTCACTTTGTAATTATTCTAAAATGCTTTACTTCATGTGGAAATAAGGAAACTTCGTACATTGTATTTGATCTAAACAACATGCAGATGAATTGAAGATTAAGAATCTGATATCTTCATCAATGCGAAATCAAAATTGTTCAGAATTTTCAAAGACTGGCCAAGTTTGTACAATAATAAACACGCCTTTTACTACAAGAGCATGCGGTATGCCGACAGACCGTAAAGGAATAGGGAACAAAGACAGTAGAGACAGGTATGCGAGTTTTATAGATGGGAACGAGGTGTGCAGTAGATTCTACTGCGGGAAAGAAGAAGACAAGAGTCGGATTAGTAAAGGTGATGCAAAGTCACAGACACATGGGACTGAAACGTGAAGAAAAGGTTAAAGAAAGGATAATCCCTGCAAGCAGAAGGAGATTATATGAAGATGGAACTGGACAAGAAGAAACGGTGAGTCAGAAAATACGAAAGGAGAGAAAAATATAGAGAATACAAGAGGAAGAAGGATTATGTTGTATTAGGAGACGTTATGGAGGAGAAAGAAGTACGCGATTTAGTTCCATAGGGAAGTTTTAGAGAAGCAAGAAATGCTTTGTTTAAAAACGGGTAGGTTTTAAGAAGAATATTTGTAAGGATTATGATGCTTATAAATATGTACAAGCTGTACATATTAAGTATCAAGAATAAATGATGTTCGGTTACGACTTCAGGTGGGAGTCTTCAATATTCTACGATGACGCCGTCTATTGGTTTCTTAAATACTTCTTGATTTGACTTAATTAAACACCACGCATCTTGTACCCCGTTAACGCCTGCACATATATCCCTGCTCCATCGGTACTACGATAGAAAGTTTCAAAAATAAATATTATGTATTATTATATTGCTTAAAACTATTTTTCTTAATTACAAAATTAACTTCTAAATACGGTAGGTTGTATATAAAACTAATTTAGAATGATAAATGAGTCTAACGGTTGTTGGGTTTACGCACGTGACGTTTTATATTTACGTAATATGTATTAATATACTATAACGATGTTAAAATTTCATATGGAAATCCAGAGAAATATATTGATGTAATGCATTATAACTATTTGATGAGGTCCAATTTGGTATTAAATAGAAATATTCAAAGGTAAACGTTGTTCCATGATTACCAAAATTTAGAACCCCTTGCTCGTGAAATAACGTGAATTAAAACAGTAAACACAATTGATGAAAACTATTTAGTAACTGTTATTATATTCCATAGCATCGTAGGATTTGTCATCTGGTAACAGTATAAGCATAGATTTTCGGGATGGAAAGCCGTGTTCCGCTTGGCAGTAAGGGGTCGAACGTTTCGTTATCGCCTACCATTTCAATGCCAACTGGAGCAGGGCCTACCAGCTCCGAAATACTCTCTTATATGTCATATTATCCACTCTCTGACAAAACACGTGCGGCAATTCAGACCAAAGAAAAGTGCGAAGGGACTCGCGGTGCGGTTGCCGACGTTGTGGCTGCGGCAGTGCATACTAGAGAAGAGTGTGAGAAGTGCAGGCTAGAGAAGAGTGTGAGTGTGAGAAGAGAGAGACTCACGGTGCGGTGGCCCAGGTTGTGTCTGCGGCAGTGCTGACTAGACAAGAGTTAGACGTGCAGACTAGAGAAGAGTGTGAGTGTGAGAAGAGAGGGACTCACGGTGCGGTTGCCCAGGTTGTGGATGCGGCAGTGCAGACTAGAGAAGAGTGTGAGAAGTGCAGACTAGAGAAGAGTGTGAGAAGTGCAGACTAGAGAAGAGTGTGAAGGGACTCACGGTGCGGTTGCCCAGGTTGTGGATGCGGTAGTGCAGACTAGACAAGAGTGTGAGAAGTGCAGACTAGATAAGAGTGCGAAGGGACTCACGGTGCGGTTGCCCAGGTTGTGGATGCGGCAGTGCAGGCGTGCCGTGCGCCCCACCAGCGCCGTGACGTTGCGCTGCGCGCTCGTGTCGAAGTGCGGCCCGCGCAGGCTGCTGCGCGCCGCCGCCGCCGCTGCCGCCGCCGCGTTCTCGTCGCCCGCGCCGTCGCCCGCGCGCTGCGCCACGAAGATCTGGTCCGAGCGCAGCCCATCTGCCAACACAAGCGGCATTGGAGACCGTTAGCTTCTGGGAAGGTGGATGATATTCTTATTTTAGGTCGCATCAACCACTTGTGTTAATAGCGACATCATTGTCATTATATATGCACAAATACATTGCAGTACCATACCTTTACAAACAGAACAAGTACATAATCTTTACATTACATCTTTGGTTTTCATTATTAAGTACATGAATCAGAAGATGAGCTCAGTTCTTGAGTACAGTTAAAGCAGATTTTACTTTAAACATAATTTCTGAAAAACATTGTATGTGGCTGTATAAGTTGATTTCTTTCCGCTGGGATCACCTAGTCTTAGTCTTTTGGTCAGAGGTCATAGGTTTGTTTGATTCAGGGCATATGTTTGTGAGCTGTAGAAAAAGGTCATTGAACTGGTCGCACATGACTGCAGCATTGTTCGAGATAAAATGTTGATGGGTGAACTTAGTGTGACCTATTTTGCATCTCATTAGTACAAGTTGATTCGATTAGCGAAAAGTAACACCTGGATTATCATCGTGAAACTCTCTAATATCCTAATTTGCAGCTTAAACGATTCCATTTCTTTAATGTCTCTATTATCGAGTTTGAATTCAGTTGTCTTGAGATATTAGTGGTAACTTAATATAATGTCACTTTCTTCTTTACTTTGAGCAGCCTCTTTTGCTTTTCAGTCAGCCATTTCCTCTATGTCAACATGTGATGGTAACCAGCAGAAAAGGATTTCTTTACCATCAGTTATCAAATTTCAATTTTTTATAACTATATCCTGGATCACTTTATTGTAACTGGCTACATGCCTTAAGGCTAGAATTGCACTTTTAGTCAGTTTAGACCATTTGGACCGGCTGATGTGGCTCAGAGAATCACCTAATAACACTGCGAGGCTTTTAACCAGAAGATTTTGTACTTTGACACCTTAGAAAAATATCAGGCGTTGCTTACATCACCAGACGCGGCGAAGCACTCGAAGGGGAGCTCAGTTGAAATCCAGGGCCGCCTACGATAGTCAATGGCTCTTGCAACTTTGTTCTCACACTTTGGTCTAGACGGCGACTGTTTTCATTCGCCCAAAATACTGAGTCACTCGATACACTATCTCAAGAGCCTGGCCTCTCAACTGTCCCCCTTACACACACGTGGGTGGTGAAGTCCAGGTCCTTTCAAGAGAAATGATAAAACTCTGGAAAGCCACAAATCGGAGATGTGCGCCCGCGCAGGGCAGCAGGCGCACACAAACTGACTCTTTGACGAGTGAGAAAAAATCCAAACAATTCTGGCAATTGTACGTGAGAAGAAGGGAAGGAATATGATATCTCATAGCAGGAGGGGAACTTGTTCCGCGAAGAGAGAGGACCGTGTCCGTGATGTTGGCACCTCCACCACACCGAAAACCACCGAAACCAAAGCCATTTACATGATAGAGCACTTTCTAAGGTGATGGTGCCAAGTTCTCACTGGCACCGCCATCTTTGTAAAAATTGGTAAATCGACTGTACTTGGTTTGTACCAGATAATTCCACCAGAATTTTCATTTGTACCAGAAAATTAATGACGATACAGACTTTTTCAGGTGGCTGCGGGAGGCGCCCTTTAACTCTACCACCATTCTCATCACCGCAACTGAAAAAAGATGTGAAAACCTACTCAATAGATTGTTGTGCTTTCGTTTGTACCAATGCATATTGAAATATATTTTCAATGAAAGTAGCCTCTAACTCTGCCAGAAACCAGTCAATTTACTGAGGAATTCATCTGAGGGAATTATGTAAAAAATATCTTCTTATGTTTTTTTAGGAATTCTGAATATGTCATAGAAAGATACATATTATCAATGAATATTCAAAAAACATTCACGTGTTATGAATACACACAAAAAAACCTAAAGCATTTCTTGGAATTCAAATTGAAATTTTCACTTGGGAACTGCAACAATGACAGAAGGATGAATACATTACTGTGGCCACTATGAACCTAATCATATTCAACAACATGTAAGTCATGGAATTATGTATAAGGAAAACAGGTCCTGGGATGGCTCATGGAAGGAGGTTGTATTTCAAATATGGTTGCAATGATTTAGAAACCTTCGATAACACTGGGTCACACCAACACACGAAATTAATAAATTGTAGACAAATTACTTCAAAAAATTCATCCATATTTCCCTAAACATTTCCGGTCATGAACACATCCATGTCTTTCACCGGCTCATACTACAATTAAATCTCGTAACAACAAAAGTAAATATCAGCATATTGAATCAACGTACGGTACGAGAAAACTTATGATGTCATGATTTAAAAATGTATAACTGATTCTCATGGCTTGATATTAACATGCCCATTATTTAGAAATTAATTACACCATTGAATATTAATTATTTGCCCTCAATACTTGGAAAAATCCTTATCGTTGAAGATTTGGGAACTCCGCTAAATCAGCATAATAGGTCAGGTAAGTAAACGAAATAGTTCATTATCAGATCTACATACCATCTTTCCTTTGGCATAAATATGTTTTCCCAGAAGCTCTTATAAGTAAATTTCGTTGCTTGTGCAAAACCTTCTGCAATGAAGCAGAAGGTGTCGCATCCTAGTCTCTGCGAACCGAGCGACTCGGCAGCAGCTGCGCAGACTGCAGCGCTGGCGTCGAACCCAGGGCCGACTGAGGGGCTTAGCCGGAAGCTTCCCGACGGAGGCGGCGCCCCCCGCCCCCCTTGCCGAGTGAGGAAGCGAGACTTTCCTCGCGCTCCAATGGCAACTTCACAGCCGGCAGCACGTACGCGACTCCGGCAGTTCCCTCGCCACGTGCTGCCGCACGCCACGTGACCTGCTCTGAAGCAATCAGCAGACGCGGACTCGCTCACTTTCCCACAGCTCCCTTCCGCGTTGCCGCTCATCTGACCCACGAAGGCTCGGAGGCTGTGGCGAAGGTTAGGAATGCACATGATACCACGCCGAGTCACAGCCTGTCAGAAAGCGTTGCGGTTTTGAGGTTTAATTTATCTGCCATGCAGGTGGCGCCGTGTGTAATAGGGTGGTCGCACATGTCGGATGGCGACGCGAATTAAATATTAAATTTAATATAGAATCGCGACTGCATAAAGGGCGGCACGAAACGTGCCGTTTGCGACACCAGTTAGGGCTGTTTAGCGCGTCGAGGGAACGGAGGAATGTACCTCTTTTTTTCAGCATAACCCACGACGGCCGCACCCTCGTGACGCATGGGGAAATACGCCTCCCGCACCTCCAAACCGAGCAACGGAATTGCCCGCTCCCAGTTCTTGGAATTTACGTGACGGAGGTTACTTCGGAGAAAGCTGCCTGGGCGCAGCTCCTCCGCTGACACTGTGATAGGACAGAGAAACCACGGGAGCCGCGACTACCAATTGCGTTGTGAGACGCGGGGGAGGAATCACCTGACTCGTGAGCTTTCCTGAGGGACCGCCGAAGGACGCTAGGTCACTTGTTTTGGAAGCGACGGAGGGAGCTGACTTGTTTGGGATGGGCGGATAAAGCTGTCACTTTGATTCGGAGCCGGAGCTTTCCGTGCCTGGTCGCGCCGACTTCGCAACCATCGCTGCCCGACGCGCGTGACGGAAGCCGAACTATGGGACGGGACACCACATGTGAGTGCCTGACCGCAAGAGCAAAGTGAGTACGAGCCGGGGCGTGAAAGACACGACCACGAAGCGACCCGCCATCACCCGGACGCGGCCCTGCCGCCTGCCCGCGCTGAGCGACGCCGAGGCGCGGTTCGGTCGACGAATGTCACTGGTCTCATCCGGTGACTGGGGGCCGCCGAGTGGTCACCACAAAGGAACATGGGGCAAGCACCGACCGTGGCTGCCCGCTGCCAGACCTGCCGGGCTTTGGGATGCCCGAACGCCGCCCCTGAAAGCTGGGCCTTTTCTGAGTTAACATTAGTTATAAGTTTGTTTATGTCACTGGGCTTCACCCGCACCGAATTCAAAAGTGATTAAAGTAGTACTAAAGAAAATGCCTAAGTCTTTTTATCCAGTAGTTAAGCAATCACGCATGCCTCCCTCGAGGGAGTCTGCCGACGAAGCAGCCGGACAAAGCTGAATCGCCGAAGGAGAGCAGGTAATCGGGTGAGTCAGTGGTTACACATGAGAGTAGTAATGTATGGCAACAGAGCATTGAGCTGTCAGAGACGCTTACTCGCTGCCGGTACAGTAAGGGTGCAGTGTCAATAGGTGTTCCTCTGAGCCATCGCAATGGTAAAATTACAATGATTTCCCCAAACAAACTGGTATGATTCTACTGAAGTACCGATAATTTCTTTTGAAAATACCGGTATCATACCATTCAGTAGAGGGGTGATACCGGGATAGATGTCGGATAACAGTACTACACCTCCTAAAATACCGGTATTTGATGTCATATACTACCGGTATGTTTAAAGGTATTTCGAATAAATATAATGAAGGTGAAGGTATTTATATACCGGTATACATACCTTTGCCACTATAATCTTGGTATTTGGTCCCTGATCGCAAGGCCACAGGTCGCCCATTACGGCATAGTTTTAATTTGCTGGAATATTACAATAAAATATACCAATATTCAATAAAAACAATTGTAATGCATATTACTTGAAACAACTAGGCAAACACTCTTCAACATTTTTAATTTGATTACTTTCAGACGAAAATGCCGCTTTATTCTCGCTGTTAATTATCATCCAGAAACCTGAATCTGTAAATGACGGATGTTTCAATGCAATTTGCTGCCTCATTAACTTTACGAATTTGTTAGGCAAAACGAGGTTATTTCTGGGTTAATAGATGATCAAATACGTTCACGGTTTGACCTTCATCTTGCCATGATCAATATTGTTAGTGTTCATTGACTCAAACGCAAACATACAGCGCGCCAGGAAAGTCTCTCTGCAGTCGTACTTTGCTGGCAAGAGCGATTGCAGCAGAAATTATGTTGGTAGCTTTAGCTGCAGTGTAAAACGTAAATTGCGTTCTTGCCGCAATCA